AAAAAAAAAAAAAAAGAAAGAAAGAAAAGCTCATGTCCCTGCAGCCAGTGGCTCTGCTCCTACACATGCACCTTGGAGCACCTCTTCACATGTGTACAGGAAACAGGATATTCTTGACAACACTGTATCTTACAGTGACAAATAGAATCTAATGGTCTAGCCTAGCGTGGTGGTGCACATCTGTAATCCCAGCACTCAGGAGCTGGGGCAGGAAAATTGCTGCAAGTTTGAGGCCACCCTGGGCTGCAAAGTGAGTTCAAGGCCAGCCTGAACTGCATGGTAAGACCCTGTCTCAAAATGATGACCAAACAACAAAAACACGCAGGTGTACAGGCCCCAGAAGAGGAAGCTTGTTGTGGTTTGGTGGCTTTTGCTTTTGTTTTTCAGTTTAAAATTTTTTCCACCTTAACATTATGGTGACCCTCCACACCACTTTGATTTTATTCTGATCCTTTCTCCATCCCCAAAATATTTGCAAAGTACACTGTGAAAGTAAAAACAATGTTTAATTCCATGTTGCCCTCAACTAAAAAGCCAAGTTCAAGGTCAGCCTGAGTGGTAGTGTGAAGCCCAGTCTCAAAAGGATAGCAAGGGGCCTGCCCCATAGCTCACTTGTTTAAGTGGCTGCTTCAACAAGGCAGTCAGCCTCAGGTTGCTGTGGTTCATCCCCACAACTCCAGCCAGCCAAACCTGCCGTGAAGGCATTCTGAGCCTGCCAAAAAAAAAAAAGATAGCAAGACTGACAGAAAAGAACGCAGGGTGTATGGGCTCCTTAAAGGCAGCTTGCTGTGTGGCATTCTCTGTGGTGTTCCTCACTCCAGGATACCAGTGATGAGGAGCAGCCGCACTGTGGGGTCAGGGTCTCTGGTCAGCCGACTGGGCTCTACATCAGGCCAGAATACTCAGGGGCTGGCTGAGTTTCTCAATTTAGTGAGTGTATTTGCATGTACTTATGTATGTATATGTATTTATATGCATCTGTGTTAAGCCATGGAAGTCCATATTGTATGTGAATGTAATATGCTACTTTGTTTGTTTGTTTTTAGGTATCTGCGAATCTTTCAAAATGTAGATCTATCTAGCAATTTTTACTTCAGGTAATCTTGAGCTGTTTTGTTCCTATTAATCACTTAAGCTTCTTGATTATTTTCCAGGGGCTAAAAACACTTGCACACCATAGTGCTATTTGTATTTTAATAGAAATAATTCAAGGGCCTGCCAGATAGCTCAGTGGACTAAAGTGCCTGCTTCGGCAGAGCACATTGACCAGGGTTCGATCCCTGGTGTGCCGTGCCGGCCCTGGCACCAGGGTACACTGAGATGGTGAGATGGTGATTGAGATTGGGCGTGGTGGCACATGCCTGTAATCCCAGCACTTGGGAGGCGGAAAACAGGAGAATCACTATGAGTCTGATCTGTGTAGTGAGACCCTGTAGACTCCATAGACCTTGCCCTTAATACATGAAAAAATAATAATTCTATTTTTTAAAAAAACAGGCATTTTCCTCTTAATTCCCAGCCAGAATAAAGCAATTGTTTTAAATAGAAAGAATGTATTGTTAGAAGTTAGAGACCAACTTCTTAATACAGCTTTTACCCACTTGAGATTAGTACTGCTAAAATGAATGGATCTATCAAGTAAGTCTGGTAAAGTTAAATTTCACAGATGAAACCAAGATCCACCTGAATCAGCATCGTTGCCAAGTGAAATTACAGGCCCTACTTAATTTAGCTCATAGATGTATTTCCATATGAGAACTAAAAGCACAAAATATGCTTTGCCTTTGTAATTGTCAAGTATCAATTCTCTTCTCAGCTACAGTTATGATTTGTCCCACTCCCTTCAATATAACCTTACTGTCTTGCGCATGCCCCTGGAGATGTTAAAATCAGAAACGACCCCAGCACGCCAGGAGAGCTTTGACATCTTTGAAGATGAAGGGGTGATCACACATGGGAGAAGTGGTAAGTGGTGTTCACAGATTCCTTCTGTGCTAACCTCGAGTCTGTGAAGGGCGTCTCGTTAAATCCACTCCTGATCCTCCCTTCTTGTGTGCTGTTCGTTCTTCTTTACATGGGCTTTTTGGATACATGGGTTTGGCTGTGTGATTTCATTTGAGGCCAGCCAGGAAGTTGCTAACTTGGGGTGGGGGCGGCTTTCTGAGACAGGTCCTCACTGTATTGTTCAGGTCAGTGCTGAACTCATTGTGTAGCCCAGGCTGGCCTCTGCCTCAGCCTCCCCGGTGCTGGATTTACAGATGTGCCTTGTGCTGGCATATTTTAGCTATTAGTCATGAATTTTTTAATGGCTATATTCAAGTGTAGACTTTTTTTTTTTTTTTTTTGGTGGTTATGGTGGTACTAGGGACCAAACCCAGGACCTTGCGCTTGCCAGACAAGCACTTATTCCACTGAGCTATCTCCCCAGGCCTCAAGTCTCAAGTCTAGACTTTTTTGTGTGGTACTGGGGATTGAACTCAGGACCCTGTGCTTGCCAGGCAAGCATTTATTCTACTGAGCTATCTCCCCAGCCCTCAAGTCTAGACTTTTGATGAAGCTTAAATGAAGAACTTTTTTGAATATTGGAGGATATACACTCCTTCCTACACAGCAGTCATTGAGTTTTGGGAACAAGTATCGGGTTGGCTGTTATGTGTTAGACTTTCACATGTAATAGCTCTAAGCCTCCTAAAAACTGCTCAGTAGGTATAATACCAGATTTATAGAAATAATGACCAAGTAAGAAACTGAGGCCTGGAGATGACAATCATATGGCCGATGTTCAGAAGAATCAGTGAGCAGTCAGAGGCTGTGGGTAGTTTATTCCCAATTGAACCTGTCAGCCCCTCATTAAAACTGCTGCTTTTCAGGACTATTGTTGGATCACTGTAGGACCAGCACATGGCTGGTCTAAGTGCCCCTGGAGGTGCTAGACTAAACGAGACACAGAGTACCTACACCGCCTTTGTCAGTACCTTTTTGGCAAGTTCTTGGGTGTGTGTAGGACTCTAAAGCTGGGGCATTGCTAATGCGAATGTGTGAAGGAGTCATTCCAAACTTGGCAGGCTTGGACCAACTGTGGACACATACTCAGTCAGCAGGGTCTCTGCACCCCTCACTCCATGCACTGTAAATGACAGTGAGAAAGATCTGTAGTGGCAGAACTCAACCTAGAACAGACTTAGAAGGCTTGTGTTTGTACGATGCGCAAAAAAGAAGCTGTGATCTACTGGTGCTTTCCCAGAGGCTCTGGTCCATGCATGGGCAGTTACTGAGACTGAACACCATCTTGGCGAAGCCCTTGCCTCTGGTCAGTTTGCTTGTCACCCTCAGGTCATCTAAACACCCGCATTATCAACCAGACCCCTAGAGCTGTTTAGAGGGCAAGACACCCAGTGCCTGACTATTGCTTGTGATGCTTTGCTGAGTGCCGCCTCCAGCTATACAGCATTACGTTCATGTGCCTCGCTACCGGGTGCTCTGAACCAGTGGTGGTGGCTGTATGACTGTGCCACTGGGTGGCCCAGATTAGTCATGTGTGTGCCATTGGTGGATCAAGCCATCAGGAGTGTGTGAAAACAGCATACATTCGTTATCACGCAAAAGGCAGAACCCTAAACTGGGCCACAGTGGGCTGTTGGGTGTCAGCAGACTGCATTCTTCTCCAGAGGCTCTCGAGAATTCCTTTTCTTGCCCTTTCTGTCTGTCAGGGCCTGGCCTTCTCCCTGGCTGGTGACTCCCAGTCCAGCTCTGCAGCCAGCAGGCCCCAGCAGAGTTGCTTTGGCACTTCACGTCACTTTGACATTCCCACTCCTGTTCCTCGTTCACTTATCCAAACCCTTAGAGGGCCCACCGGAGTGACCCAGAGGAAGCACTGTGGCCGAGGCTCATCTGACTGGCAGCCTGGTCGCACTGTATGTTTATTCCTTGTTGCTGTGTAATCCATCATACTTCCTAGGTTAGGGTTAGGGCTAGCTGATTAGGATCCTGACATTGTTGGTGTGGTTGGGGATCACTTTCTGCTGTGAACCCATGTGGCTTTTGATGTTTTGGGGGGAAAACGGTGAGAGGATGAAGAAATGAAGATGAGAGAGGAAAGCTGAGGTCAGGTGGAGCCCTCTCTCAGCTGAGGAAAGGAACCACCAAGGGACTGCAGAGCGTGCGTTTGTGCACTCAGGAGGTTGATGCCAGATTCATCCTCTCTGCCTAGCAACTGGTTTGCAGCTGCAATAGCTTGTTTACCTGGTTCAAGGAGCTCTAAGGCGTTCTTGGGGTGTCTTTGTCTTAGCCCTACATGTGTGGCCTATTTCCAGCTTCAGCTGTTCCCTGTAATTCTCCTGCTATTCAAGGGTAAACAGGAAATAAAGAATGACAGTAGAGGGGCTGGTGAGATGGCTCAGTGGTCTAAAGCACCTACTTAGAACAAGCTTAGCAAAGCACAGGGACCGCGGTTCAATCCGCCAGCACCACATGCCAGCCAGCCCCGCCCCCTGGTGGGCTGAGCTGACCACACACACACACACACA